GCCTCCCGGGGGGGGGGGGGGGGCGGTCCCAGTGCATGGCTCCTATTGGCTGAGGTCGCCTCACACCCAGCTCTGCCTCCCTCTCAGGCTGTTTTTACAGCGTTACTCTGTCAACCCAAGAAAGAAAATCTAATCCAGGCACCCAGGCTAACCACGGGCCTCAGTGTGGGCCCTTCTCAGTTTACCAAGTGGGGGGCGCAGGTCGTCTGCTCATTTCTCCTCATTCTCCCCACAGACGCCATCCTCAATATGGTCAACAACATCGCAGCCAATGTTCTGGGGGCGCGTCCAGAGCTGGAGCCGGCGGACGGATCACAGGGTTTGTACTCAAGCTCTCTAAGCACACCTGGTTCTAAACGGCCCCTGAAAGGATCCGTCTGTGGGCTTCTGGGCTGCTGCTTGTTCTTCGTTCCGTGAAGGCAATGCCGTGCCGTGTAATACTCCTCCAGAATGCTGTCTGACAGGATCTGAGACGGCCTGCTGGTAATGTTCCGTACTTCCTGAACCTGCCTATGTGGAAATGTCATTGTTAGTCATTGTAGAACCAGCTTTGGGTGATTTTCCTGACCATGCACCGCTTCCTAACTGCTAAGAAGCAGTCCGCCATTGTTATGGTAACTTGGAAGCATGTGTGCTTAAGGGCTGATCCCAGGTCAGAGGTGTGAGTGTAAGCTCTTGTGGGGAGGCCACAAGCTTTGCCTTGATCTGCTGACAGACATGTAATTGCATACTGACACCAACATGTTTTTGAATGTGAAGATTCAGTGGCAGTTTAACTTAGTCCCCGTCAAAGCAAAGAATTCTGGGAAAATGCGAGAAGGAGTTTCGTTTGCTTTCTAGGAACAGCGGGTGTCGTCACAAATGAGCTCTAGGAACAGCGGGTGTCGTCACAAATGAGCTCTTTCACCAGCTCGCAGTCCAAGGGCTTTGCAGCGCAGAGTACAGACGTTCCCTGGGTTACGATGGTTCTGATTATGATATTTTGACTTTACGATGGATAAATGTTTTTCACTAAAAGTACGCTATTCAATAAATTACATGAGATGTTCAACACTTTATTATAAAATAATAAGGCTTTGTGTTAATGATTTTGCCAAACTGTAGGCTAATATAAGTGTTCTAAGCATGTTTAAGGTAGGCTAGGTTAGGCTAGGTTAGGTTAGGTTAGGTTAGGCTAGGTTAGGTTAGGCTAGGCTAGGTTAGGTTAGGCTAGGTTAGGGTTAGGCTAGGTTAGGCTAGGCTAGGTTAGGTTAGGTTAGGTTAGGTTAGGTGTGCTGTATTAAATTGCACATTCGCCTTATGATATGTTCGTCTTATGTTACGTTTATCGGAACGTAACCTCATCATAACCTGGGGAGCGTCTGTAATGCGATTGCAGGATACCCTTTTCTGTCTTCTGGGGAGCGTCTGTAATGCGATTGCAGGATACCCTTTTCTGTCTTCTGGGGAGCGTCTGTCTGCTGGCACCCAGAGGATGTCGGCTTTCCCATAAACCACGGGGATGGCGCACAAGTCTGGAGAGTTCCCTCCTCCTGAAGGAACGTTAGCTCTCTTCCAGCGTTTTATTCTGCCACACGAAGTCACAATTGCATCTTGGTCATGTGACCATGCAGATCTTAATGGAAAACAGACCACAATAGCAGCGCTCAGCTCTGCGCTTTTCTTTCTGGATCCCCCACGCAGTTAAATAGGCTGCTTTGTTACTACAGAGGCAGGGAAACTTTCACTCATGGTTCGTGACTGAATCTAACAAAAATTAACTGAAATTTTTTTGGAAATAGCTTGCAGCAATAAGATAATGAATTACCCCCCCCCCCCCCACAGTGAACTCCTCCATGGAAGCAGAGAACATGACGAGCACGTCCGGGGGCTCCGAGCTTCTGCCCACCCCCTCGGCTCTTCCAGGGTGGGTGCCTCGTGCTACCATCATGCATTCTCACCTGCTCTCCACTCTGTGTCATTACAGCTCACCTCTGCATCACACAAAAACTAACTGGGGGCATGTAGTGCCCCCCCCCCCAAACAGTCTATGTAAAAACATGATTTGCAGTTATTCACTTTATAAGAAGAGCGTGTTCTGAAAGCCAGGTGGTTTTCTTTGTGCCCTCTGCCACCAGGCTGGAGACCCGGGAGCTGGAATCCGCTAACCCTGCGGAGGACCCGGGGGATGATGTGGAGGAGTTGGCCACTCCGGCGCCCCCGGAGGAGAGCCGCATAGTGACGCTGGTGCTGGAGGAGGACGAGGAAGAGCCAGAGCACAGCCAGTCCACCGTCACCCTCCTCGGAGCGGAGGAAGAGGAGGAACGTGGGGAGGATGAGTCAAAGGGGCGGAGCTTGGACCCAAGGCAGCTGGAGAGTCAGGCCCAGTGCGGGGCCCTGTCCAGTCTGTCCTGCACTGGTACCCTGCTGGAATACCTCCACCGGCAGTGTTCTGCAGCACACGCACCACGCCGATTGCACCCGGTGCGCCGGAAAGTGAAGGCAGATCGGGATAACGCACGCTCCAGCCCGGTACCGAGCCCTGAACCTGCCCCCACGCCGACCCAGGAGCTTCCCGCAGAGCCCGTCCCACAGACGGAGCGCCCCTCGTCCAGGGAGGAGAGTTCCGTTTCCATGGAAACAACTCCCACATTGCCCGCTGAAGGTACCGCAGACGTCATCACCGTGACTGAGCTGCTGGAGCCCAGCCGCTCCTTGTTGCTGCCTCCGATCAGCTTTGTGGACTCCACCGTCGCCACGGTATCTCCCACGGAGGACATCCTCGAGCCGTCGCGGGGTGATGAACTACAGACAGACCCCCGTTACCAAGACAGTGTCTCCGAGACGCAGAATGAGGGGACGAGGGCCCCCCCCTCCGGCAGTGGGAGCCCCAGTTGGTCCAGCGCGGTTCCCACAGCGGATCTGTCTGGGCCTGAGAGCGAGTTCACTAAAGTGGAGCCCCCGCTCCTCGCCGTGGTGGAGCAACCCACCCCGCTGCTCCTCACGGCCACAAGGCCGCTGGAAATCAGCCCCCCCACCGATCACCCGGGTTCCCCGGCAGAGTCGGATGCCGACAGGCCATCCGTGGATGAACCCCAGAGAACCACGCCACTTACGTTGGCCCCAGAGACACCGCTGCTCCCTCCGGAGCCAGGGGAGGAGGCGATCCTGGTGGCCCAGGGCGGCGCCCAACTGCAGCGGCCCACCACCGACTTCTATGCCGAACTACAGAACTCTTCTGAGCTCAGCTACAGCAATGGGAATGGCAACCAGGTTCACGGGTCCAACCAGAAGGAGTCTGTCTTCATGAGACTCAACAATCGCATCAAGGCACTGGAGATGAACATGTCACTCAGCAGCCGGTACCTGGAGGAGCTCAGCCAGAGGTGAGAGTGTCCTCTTTACCCGGCCCCCACAGCCGGTGTGCGTTTCTGTGCTCCCGTCTAACCAGGAGCGATCGGTTGATCCAGGTACCGAAAGCAGATGGAGGAGATGCAGAGGGCCTTCAACAAAACCATCATCAAGCTGCAGAATACCTCCAGGATCGCGGAGGAGCAGGTGATTTTGTTTTTTTTGTTTTTTTCTTCTTCTTGTGTTTCTCATGCCGACAAAGTCGTCAAAGGAATGAATGGCTGACTGGAGGAATGCGTGCTGACTCCATCCTCCTCAGGACCAGCGGCAGACAGAATCCATCCAGGCTCTACAGAACCAGCTGGAGAACATCACACAGCTGGTGCTCAACCTGTCCATTACTGTTGGCAAACTTCAGAAAGAGGTGAGAGTGTCTTCAGGCCCCTTTTCTGGCAGTAGCCAAATCGCCTGACGTTTCACGGCCCCATAAACACCCACTGCTCTGGGTGTCACCCTGCAGGCAGCAGACCGGCAGAGTTACCTGGCCGTCTCCCTGCTCCTCTGCCTGTCCATCGGGCTCCTGCTGTGCCTCCAGTGCTGCCGAGGAGCGTCCCCCCCTCCTCCGAGCTCGGGCCCCCCCATGCCTAAGATCAACCACTACCCCAGCCCCAAGAGGTACTCTTTGAGCTTTCATGAGATCTTGGAAAAGAATGTTTTTCATAGTTATCCAGCGGACACCCCCACCTCCCCGATGCATTACTTAACATCACTGGTCCAATCAGAATGTGCTCAGGTTGCCTTTTAGAACTGGACCCCCCTGCCCCCCAGCCAGCTGAACACCCACATTTGCAGACCCATGCTCTGTCCCTACAGGTGCTTCTCCTCGTATGATGACATGAGTCTGAAGCGGAGAGTCTCCTGCCCTCTTGTGCGCTCAAAGTCCTTCCAGTTCCCAGCTGCAGAAGGCAAGTCCGTCCTGTGTGGTCACTCCACCCCCACAGAATGGCGCCCCCTTCTGGCCCGATCCTTTGTTACTCAAAATGTAAATGTGTGTGGGTGGGCTTGAACAAGGGCTACATAGCATGTTGATGGGAAAAAAAAAAATTGAGCTGCCTTTGGATAGGTGAGTTAATGATATTGTTTAATTTTACTCCTCCCCCCCATTTGTCCATTATATGGCTGCTGTACTTCCAAAGGGGCCCCCAGTGGTGTGGATGTAGGGGGGATGTCTCCATGTGGTCATGCTTGAAACACAAACATTTTCTCCATGGCCCTCACATTAGCTGTGGGGTCTTAGGTGCCCCACCCTGCCCCATTGTCAGTTTGTCTCTCGTCAGACCACTCTGCATCCGGCATGTGTAGGGTCAGCCCCAGCAGCAGTCCCGCTTTTCCCGAGATGCCGTCACTGGGCCGGTTTTGTGCAGCTGTTCAGCAAATGTTCACATGATGCTTCGCCCCTTGATTGGTCATCAAGGGTCTAGAAGGCTCTAGAAAATTCTAGAAGGTTATAGAGTTCCAGGTGATGCATGTACGTGCTGGGCAGGCCAGTACCCCGGTTCCTGGCCCACCCTGACCACCAGTGCTGCCCCCCGCTGGCCGTTCCCGCTGGCCTCGCCTTGTCCGTCAGCTGGCTTTGTGCTCGTCCCTTCATCTAACCTCCACCCCTCTCTCCCCTTTTCAGTGGGTCCAGATGACTTGTTCATTGTAGAACCTCTAAGGTTTTCACCTGAAAAAAAGGTATGGTGTCTATTTTCCCCCTACCCCTGTTCTGGTTTGCCCCAGCTCCGGGGTCGGCCTGATATGCTGTAATGGTTCTGTTGGGCCGTGGGCCAAACACCCCCTCTACTGAACAAAACATGTATTTGGGGCACTTTGACCTGGGGGAAGCAAGGATTCTTACCCACAATGCCATGACACCATGTGAGTCTGGGCTTGCTCAAGCTGTGTTATGTCAGGGCTTCATATGTTTCTCATTGCATCAACCCCCCCCCACCCCCCCACCCCGACAGGGGCAATTCTACGCTTTACACTCCCTGGCCTAAAACGCACTGTTTGAATTTAAATCCGCAAGTACTTAAGAGCCAATGATTGGATCATTATTACAGCTCAGCAATGTTATGCAGCAATGAAGTCAGTACCTCAGTCTAGTGGACGGCCAGTTTATCCCATCACTGGATTTTTCCTTTCCTAATGGCATGGAGATATTCCAGCACGATAATGCCAAGATTCATCTGGTTCAAATTGTCAGGGTTCAGGGAGCAGGAGGAATCATTTTTACCCTTGAATTGGCCACCAGAGAGCCTTGACCTCAACCCCATTGAATGTCTTTGAGATGTGCTGAAGAAGACTTTATGGAGTGGGTCAACCCCCCCATCATCAATACAAGATCTCGATGAGAAATTAATGCAAATCTAGATTAAAAAAATGTTGAGATGTTGCATAAGCACGTGGAAACAATGCACTGACGAATGTGCACCCTAACGAAAGACAAAGGTGTCCCAACAAAATATTAATGTGCCATTTTTTTTTTCGGTCATGCAGTGTATTTTAAGGTTTGGGGCATAAGAGGAGCCATAATGTATACAGAGGAGCCATCTTTATTAGCCAATGATAGATTTTGAATTGATGAGTGACAGTGGAAGGGGCCACTCCAGGGGCCAGTCAGCTTTCAGCTGTGGCCCCGTCCCCCTGAGTATCTCCCCAACCCCCATGTGATCTTTCCTCTCTCCCCCCCCGGGCAGAAGAAACGATGCAAGATGAAAGCCGAGAAGGTGGATGCCCCGAAGCCCTTGGCCCCCGCGCCAGCAGCAGCTAATGGAGGCCCCAAGTGCAACGGTGCCCCCCGCCCCCCCCCGGTAGAGACCTGCGTGTCCTTGTCCAGGGACACCCCCTCTGAGGGCAGCTCGGAGGGCTCCTCCCATTCGGATGAACCGCCCGCCTGCGAGAGCCAGCCGCCACCCCCCAGCCGGATGGAGAGGCGGGCCTTCAAACGGCGGCGCTCGCGGATGTGTGAGCGGGGCCGGGGCGTAGCCGAGCTGCTGCCCGCCCTCCAGGGCATTATGAAGGGCAGCAAGGAGATGGGCGTGGGAGCGCTGGGGGTCACCGCGCTCTCGGGCCAGGTCTAAGCCACACGCCATCCCCATCTGGGGAACAGACTGGTACCTAGTGGCACCTTCTGCTGGCAGGGTGCGGAACTGCGGCGTGACTCATCTCTCGGGGCCTTGCCCCTGGACACGGCGGCCCTCGACTTCGAAGACCCCTTCCTCTTTATGTGCCTTTTCTGTCTGTTTTAGAGATCGATAGGTCGTTACTTTTTTCCCTTCCAGAGAGAGCTCTTATTTATCAATAAGATGAGACAAAGCTGTGTATTTTAGCGCAGATTTTTGTTTTTCTACCGGATTAGCACAGCGACCAGATGGTCGAAGCCTCAAGGGGGTGGTGTCCCGCCCTGGACTTTAGAGGGCACTCTGTTTAGTGGGGGCTCCTGGTGGTGTCAGGTGTGTGTGAGGGCTGTGCAGTGTCCACTGTCTGCCTCCTTTGCCTTTTTTCGCTCCTAGATGTGGCTTTAACCTTTTGTTTCGTGGGACCAGGAGGTGATTTCCTTAGGTGTTCCGTAAACTCAGCGGCTGCTCAAGGTGGGTGAAGCTGCTGTGAGTCTCTGCCAATGCCCCCCCCTCCCCCAAACCACCCCACCCTGCCCTGCTTTCTCAACATCACATCACGCACCCGTAAGTGTAGAGGATGTCGTGACTCAGTCACCCTGCTGCAAGTCACGGCTGGCCCCCGCAGTCCTCGTCCCTGGTGGAGAACGACTTCTTCCTACTTTCACTACGTATGGAATGACGGAGGTTTCTTCTGACCAAATGAGATGTGTTTGAGGGTCCTGTTTTTTGGGAATAGTTTGTTTTTCTGTCAGACACCAGAAGGTACCTCTGCTGTGAGTTTTATTTATGTATTTATTTATTTCACTGTCTGCCAGATATGTCTTGCCATAGTCCCAGAAAGAGGATCCCCCAAGATTCTTCTGTGTCTCCCCCTGTCTCCCGTGGCAGGTACTGCGACAGCACATGCCACATATTACTCCTTCGCAACATGTGTGTTCCCTAAAACACATTTTTACTCAATGGACTGTCAGGACGCACAATGCATGCGTCCATGTGATGGAGTATGGAGCCACCCTTGAATTTAAACACTTATCTGTTAAGTAAAAGAAAATAGATTTTAAAGTACAAATTTATAATGACGTGCTGCATTTGACTTTTCTGGTACAGACAGTGGGACTGAATTCAAAGTGAAACGGGGAAGGCGTCTTTTTCTCACAACCAGTAACAAATGAAAAGGATTCTCATCCAGATTAAGCTTGTGCCGCTATAAGGACGGGATCCCTTTAAGCGGCCTAAAAAGTCGTCACCTTCCCGTTTATGACAGTATAGAAAATGTTTTTCTTCATTTTATTTGAGGAAAATTTTGTGGGCTGGGTTTGAATGTGATTTCGAGAATTTTACTAAATATGTTACACGCGTGTCGGGGTTTGTGCGTCCGTCACAATGCGTTACGGATGTGAGGATGCTATGTGTCGCCCTCTCCTGGTGGTACGAGGAGTCGACGGTCGATTCGCTCACATTCTTTAACGTGGTGTTATTTGTACTTTTTGTTGCTGATTTTTCTTACGAGCTCAATGTGCACTTTGTTTCTTAACGAAGCCCCCGAGCCCACGCCAGTGCCCTGGCATCCCTACTCCACCCCGAAAGGGTCCCCAGGGGTCTACGGGAACACGCTACTTGTTTTCTGTGCGGACGGGCTGCACAGCACTAGTGGAACTGGAGCACGGGTTGGACTCCCGAGTTGTTTGCCATTAGAAACTGTGAATTTCTAAATAAATAACACTGACTTTCACCCAAGCGCGTTGCCTTTGTTTTTTTCTTGGTGGCGGGAACTGAAGTCGTGCCTCTTCCCCACCAGTTGGGCTACTGCAGTAAAACATGTTTACGGGTCAGAAAGTATGGTTCACGGTTTGTGTAAGTTATATTTCAGATAAGCCTACAAATGTCCGGATGTACAATACTGGACTGTCAGACTCTATACGTGCTATTTAAATGGTTCTTTTTTGGGTTGGATTGTTGTTATAGGATGAGAATTAAACTGAGAAATTGAGAAGTATTTTAAGTGCAAGCTATTTACCCAAATGGGTTGCATCTTAAATGCAAAGTAAACATCAATCTTCCAACAGCTTCTCCAGTACAGACTCACGGAGGGTACTTGTGTGTGTGTGTGTGTGTGTGTGTGTAGGTACATAATGCGAAATGATGTTGTCTAATGAAGTACTGTATAATCTGTACAGGTTTGTAAATTTAGTGCATATTTTCCTCATAAGGGCTTGAAGTAGATATCACAGCGCTACGAAAAGTTTTCGTTTAAAAAAAAAAAAAAAAAGAAGATAAGTAAATAACTTACTACAGTCCAGCGCTACCTGTAAACGGTACTCTAGCGTGTGCATGCGTGCTGCGTTCCTCCGCACCTCTTGGTGTCGCTGCTGGAATCGGGTCCACGTGTCGCCCTCGGCGTGACGAAACTTCCGGCAGCCGATATGGCGGACGAAGTGGAGCTTGTAGATATTGAGGGAGATGTAACCGACGTGAATTTGGGGTAAGCAGAAAGCCTGTCGTCCTGATATTATTAATGCGTAGTTGGAGCTGGGCATGGTTGGATAGCAGCTCAGATCCCCCCCCCCCTTTTTCAATTTTCTTGTGGTAATTAAACGGTTTGTTTATAGTGCCCGAGATGTTCACGTTTACCCGTCAAACAACAAAAATGAATGACAAGTGAGAGACCTCTCATTACCAGTAGTGTCTGTGCCATTGCTTATACCTTTTCTTATCACAAGTCACACGAACGGGTGACGAGTTTAGTTTTTCCTCACATTTACTGAACGCAGCGAGGGAGGCGGCGGCTCAGAGCAGCTGACGTGTGAAGTACGGAGGGGCCAGGACGTCTTTCCTTTTAATGCACAGAGAAATTAAATGTGTGTATGCTGGTTTCATATAAGCGTGCATTTACACTGCTGTCATCAACAAGAAACCCGTGAGAATGTGGCTCGGCAGAACGAAAACATGAACTTGACTCAGCTGCGTATTTCTAATCTGAAAACTCCTTACCGACTGTCTCACCACCCAATGGAAAGGCTGTCCAACGACTGATCCCAGCTGTCAACGAATCATTATAGTGACAAACTCTTTTAAGCTACTGTGCCTACACCGGTACTGAATAAGTGAAATATCCATGATTTCGTCGTCTACGCTAAACACCAAAAAAAGCGTCTATACGACACGAGCTGCGCTCCAGAGCTAATTGTGTGCTATTGTTTGAATATTTTAGGGACGCTGAGGGGAGAGAAATAATTCAGGATCCTTATCTGCACTCCGCATGGAAGAACAGCAACGGGCTCTTAGTAAGTGCTGCAGATCGCTCCGTGTCTGCTTAGAGTACGGCAGCCCCAACGCTCTCGTCTTTTCACGTCATTCATTCGTTTATCGGTTGGGCTGGTTATTTCTCTAAATGTGTTTTGCATAGGCTTTTGCCCGCTCCTTTTATATGTTTGCTATCTCGCAGCCCTGGACTCTAGACAGCTCTATCAGTGCGGAGAACAGGGAGGCCATAGAGAACATGCTACTGGAGGAGGAGTATCCTTTGACGTACAGCAGTTTGCAGAGTCTGGAGGGTGAACGCTCAAATGGTGCTGCCTGGTGTGTGGCATGCCGAGGTGGATAGTTCAGGTCCGGAAAGTAAGAATCCAGCCCATGATTTTGTTTGAACCAACCAATTGAGTACCCTGTGGCTGTGACTGTTTATACTCAACTGGTTGGTTGAAAGAAAATCCTGGTCTTGATTTTTACTTTCTGGACCTGAACTGTCCACCTCTGGTGGCTTGTCTTTTTGTGGATTTCTCCTTGACTGGTTTTGGATATTATCTGGCCGGGAAGGAGCTGCCGAAGAGCATGTGGACGGGTGAGAAGCAGAGGGTTAAGCGGTGAGTACAGTTCAGGGGACCCTCACTGTGAACACGCTCTCATGCTAAATCTTAACCTCAGTGACGTGTCACTTGCTTTCAGCAACAATGCCACCACATTGCTAGTGCTAAGTATCTGCTTGCATGTTCAGTGACCATTTTTTTTTGCTGGGTTAATACTGAGATGTAGCACTTTAGACAGCTGGGGGGCAGCATGTGGCTCAGTGGGCTAAGCCTGTAATCAGAAGGTTACCGGTTCAAACCCAGCCTCAGCACATCTGCGGGTCCTTGAGCAAGGCCCTTGAGTGGGTGGCTGCCCTTCACAGACAATAATCAATTGTTGTTGTTATTATTATTATTTTAGGAGACATTGGCTGATAGTGGCACAATTTTTTTTAGACAATGTACAGGGTGGGTGCAGAGAGCAGGGTCAACACAGACCCTGGAGCAGTTGAGGTTAAGGGCCTTGCTCACTGGTCCAGCTGTGATGCAGTTACTCTGCCAGCCACGGGATATGAATCCACAACCTTTTGGATGTGGGCACAGATTCCAGACCCGAGATCCACATGGCCCCCAGGAACGAATAAACAAAGAGATCTTTTCCATTTTGACGATTGTGTAATTGTTCATTTTATGAACTGAAGCATTTGCAGTGGTTACCCAACATGATACCTAACCCCTCTCTTTTCTGTGGTCTCACTTTGTAGGTCTCCTGTGAAACCCTCTGCACAGCCTGTCCGCTGGGCCAAGGAGGAGAAGGAGCTCTTTGAGGCCGGCCTGGTAAGCAGACGTTTATGTGCTTTACAGGAGCTCCAGTGATATATATATTTGTACATTTTCATTTTATGTTGTGTGGATCGGTTGCAATAAGCAAGAACGCAGCTGATGTAGCGTTTCTGCTCCTCTGCCTGCATGGTGCTGCAGTCCCAGTTCGGCCGGAGGTGGACAAAAATTTCCAAGCTTATTGGCAGCCGGACCGTCCTGCAGGTTAAAAGCTACGCCAGACAATACTTTAAGAAACAGGTGTGTTTCTGTCCTGTTACCGCCTTCATACTGAAACCCGTGAGAATGTGGCTCTCGTATGCTAAACGTGTGGTCATTGAGTTTATTTTGCAGCATTTTGTCCTTTAAGTTTTTAATACAGGCTTTATGTTCACTTATAAGTGGGGGGAAAAACTCAGGGGAGGTTTACTTGCACAAAAATGTTCTGATGTCAGAAGGAAAAATGAGCGTTTCAGTGAGATATCCAATCAGATAGTGAAGAAGGTGGGGTCCAAGCAACTAGAGGAGGTGGGACCAAAACATCTGATTGGTTGGTCCTGCCTGCTGTAGTTGCTTGGACACACCCCTTTTACAGTCTGATTGATTATCTCTCTGAACAAATCATTTTTCATTTTGCCCTCAAGTATTTGTATAAGAAACTCCCATGAGCTTACAGTTTTAGATGAAACTTGATTTTACAAAGTATTGCAATCAGTTGGGAGCTGTGAGATAGTTTGTGCATTTTCCAACGTGTTACCAATATAGGCCTTAAATTTCAGGCTAAGCTGGAGAACTCGCTGCATCAGAGCCCGGGGGCCCCTTGGGGATCAGTGGGCAGGCCACCTCCCGGTGCTGCTGGCTCTGTCAAGGATCACGGCACCATGTTGTCCAACGCGGTGCGGATCGAGAGGCTGTCAGACGACGAGGATGTGGACATCACGGACGACCTCGACGATGATCCCACGCTTCTGAGCAGCCAGGGGGAGCCGGTTGAACAAGGGCCTTCTGAAGATGCTGCGATCCAAAGTGTGGAGCCTCTGCCAGCCCCCTCCCCCCAGCCCTCCTGCTCCATGGAGCTGCTCCCAGAGGCTGCACCTGAGGTGGTGGGTGAGGGTGTCACACATGCTCACTGTGACCCCACGTCTGTGGAGGAAACGGACCCCCAGCCAGCTGAGCCCGGCAGTGCAGATGGAGGATCTGCTTCTGAGCAGGAGGACAGTAGTGGAGCAGGTGACCTCGGGCTTTGTTTGTTTTTAACATCTCCATAAAAATGTCCCGCGGGCCCCCTCTTCCAGGTCACGGTTTGACCTGCCTGCTCTGCTGCTGTCCCTCCTTCCCTCAGGCCCAGCAGAGGGCAGCACGAGCCTGGATGAGGAGTATGAGGAGGAGGACGAGGAGGAGGAAGAGCTGAAGGCCCCAGAACAAGAGGTTCAGCTTGACCGGAGGGCCGTCACAGAGGAGGAGAAGCAGGCCGTCTCTGAGTTCTTCGAGGGCCGTCCGTCCAAGACCCCCGAGAGATACCTCAAGATCCGGAATTACATCTTGGAGCAGTGGTACGTGTAGACAGGGCACAGAGCCCCTACTGCCACTAATCTGCTGCATTAAATCTGGGTCTAAGGTCATGTGACCTTCTCTGCCGGTCATACAGCGATTAAAAGCAGCATGAAAGATCATTTAAAAAAAATATGTGATCTAGTGCACGGGGGGTAGTGATGGTAAGTAATACTTAAAATAAAGACGGTTGTTATCCAGTGGCTCGGATATGGGATGTTAGCTGGCCAGTGCAGAATTTGGTATATTAATGCAGGGCCGGTTTGTTGTTTTTCGGGCCCTCACCCCCCTTCAGATATTTCAAAAACCAAATAGCTATCAAGTCAGAAGATCATAGGTAGCTCACTAGCAGAACATGTGGCTTCAACATCTGATGAATAAGGAACACGTTTATTTAGTACAGTGACTGTGCAAATGCATGATTTAAGTGATGATAAACAGCATGATTTAAGTGATGATAAACAGCGCCACTGTGATAATGTGGGACAGTGTCCCAGGCTCCTAAAATTGGCATCTGCCTGTCTCCCAGGGAGAAGGTTAAACCCAAATACCTGAACAAGACGTCAGTGCGCCCAGGCCTCA